ACCTTCATACTCTGTTATCATCCTTTTTAGCAGTATATATTCTTGCCACTCTGTCAAATAAAGTTAGTTGGAAGTCAGCGCTCTTTCTGTCTACCCTGTCCTTTTTCCTTTGTTCGCGCGCTGAAACATCTTGCAAATATGGCCTCTAATAGAGTAATATACGTGGCAAGCCAGGACTACCCGAAATAAGCAACGCACACTATTGTTTTCTTTCCTTAAAAGTGTAGCATGTCCACAAGGTTACGCAGGTTGGCATGAGTAGGTCGGCAATAAATGGCAGAGCTCATCATGCCAGCTCAAAAAGTTTATTTTGTGCTTAGAGCTAATTTTAATCCAGACTCACAACATACTTCGAATCAGGCTGACTAAAACTTTTCTCAACGGAACTCAGACTCAGGTTCGGTCGGAGTGATCCTCAGCGAGCCGGCCAACTCGAGAGTGATTTTGCTGACGTATGGTGTAGGAAGTGCTTCGAAACCAAGCCACTTGACAATGTTCTCCTTATAACTACGTTTAATATCTGCAAGACATGAAAACAAGGATAAAGGTGCTCGAGTAGCTCAGCTGGAAGAAGCCAAAATAAACAGCGACAGAAAAGAGAGAGTGAGACTCTCAGAATACAGTATAATGACCCCCAAAGGGAGTTAACGGGACTCTTTAAAGAGAGTCACATACGTGGCGAGTCAGGACATAAAAAAAAGATATAGTCAAATGGCTTTTTTTTTTTGTTCTTAGAGCGTAGCTTGTCTACAACTTAGAAGTGTGGAAGCTTGGGCTAGTTGGTATGGCATGACGATAGTTATACCGTGAGAACAAAACGACGACACAGAGAGAAGAAGGACATGAAAGACACGAGCGCAAACTTCCAACTGAGTTTATTGCGCAGAGCGCGAAAATATATAGAGCGCTCTGCGCTAAAAAAATATAGAAAATATATTGCGCTCTGCGCAATAAACTCAGTTGGAAGTTAGCGCTTGTATCTTTCGTGTCCTTCTTGTCTCTGTGTCGTCGTTTCGTTCTCGCGCTATAACTATCGTCATGCCATACCAACTAGCCCAAGCTGCCACACTTCTAAGTTACATTTCTAGTTATTCGGGCTCTTTTTCGTGTGTTTCTCTTCATCATTCAGTTCTCGTAACCCTCATCGCAGTCTCCATTTGCCGTGCGCGCACCTTTACTTTCGGCGTTCGCACCAAGCAGCTACCTTCGGACGTTAAAGCCTTGTTTTGAGGCTACCACCCCTCTATTGGCCATGGCATACGGGTGTGCAAAATTCTTCGGTCTGAATGACACCGACAAGAGCACACGTACCGGGACGCCCTGCATGTCCAGCTTCAACAAACAGATCTAACACCGAGAGTGAAGTAAAGGAGATGGCGAGAGTACTGCGACCGAATCGAATACACTGCAAACTGCCTGTAGTCACGTGAGCTCACTAGCCTTCGTGCGCAGCGCCCAACAAAGTCCCGGCAATCAGGTGTGGTCCACTCATGCAGTGACGTCGTCCTCCAAGACTACGTACACAACACCCTCGCCCTAGGTCCGAAGTTCGCCGTCGACAGAGAGAGGTCCGAACCCGAGCTTCTTTCAATGGTGCGCTCTGTTTCTGGCCGCGCTTCTCCAGAGGATTCGGACAGGTGCATCTCAGAAGGCGTCGACGTGCTCCTACGGGGTAAACCTACCAGTAACAGCGTTCCGGTTTTGAAGACGACCTAGTTTCTTAGAGACAATGAACTTTGTGTCGTGCCGTCAGATAAGGAGGGTGGTTTCGCCGTTCTTCCTAATTACTTGTACCTAGAAAAGGTGGTCACGGCTATCGACTCTGTTTTCAAATGTTGTACCGACATTTGTCTAGATAGAGTAAAAACGCAAGCCAAGGGAATGTGTCGTAAACAAGAGTTAAAACAGTAAGCACAGCATATTAGCAAAAGTGACAAAAATGGGCTCAGCATGTTTTTTTTTTTCTGCCAAAACACATAAGGTTGACATGCCCTTCCGTGTCATTGTGACAGAAAGTGGTACGTGGCAAAAGCAACTCGGCTTGTTTATTCATACCCATCTAAAGTGTCTAAATATTGATGACCCATTTTTGATCAAAAACTCGCAGGCTCTGATAGAATTTTTTAAACTGTCAAATTGTTATGTCCGGTGTTGTCGTCGGCCCATAGACGTACGCGTTGGTCGCGGTAGTCCAAAAAGCTCAGACAGCCTCGAACGGTTAAAAACAAGTTTATTCCTATTCGGATGGAGGCGGCGGCCGAACTGCCGGGGGAAACGACGGTGGCTCGTTTGCGCCGAGCGGGGGAAGGGGAGGAGTCAACATCTGGAAGCAGTTTCAGCAACCGGTCCTTCGCGGGTTCGGAGGCTCGCTCGTGACACAGGGGTGCTTGGAACACAACACAAATCAATCTAATCTTTCCGGTTTTTCAATTGACATAAAGGACCTATACTACTCTCTGCCTCACGATGAGGTATTAGAACGTATAAGGGATAACATAGAAATTTTTGGGGAATCGAACTTCCAATTAAAACTGGCATCAGTGCGCGAGATTTTTTGACCTGGTTTCATTGTACCTTACCTCTGCTTTCGTTCAATGAAATGATTGTATTTATCTGCAGAAAAAGGGTGTTTCAATCGGCTCATGCATAGCACCTCTACTCTCAGTGATCTTCTATTGGCAAAAATGGGCAAAGAACTGCAGGAAAAGTTAGAAGACTCGCATGTAGTCAAAGTATTCGGATACGTGGATGATTTTTTGGTTCTTCTAAATTGTAATTCTTTTATGTGTCCTCCCTTGCGACTCAAACGATAGGTGTGTTCGAAGATTGTTTAAGGCCTCTTGTGTTGACTTATGAAATGCCCGAGAAAGACAAGTTACGCTTTTTGGATTTAAAACTGGTTTTTTGCTCACAGCACATCTGTTGGTGTTATGAACCACGTGCGCAGAAACCTCTACTTCCTTTTTTTCTGCTCACAGCAAATTAGTTAAGCGAGGCATAGCACGAACCTGTCTTGAGAATGCCTTAAATAGGTCGTGCGCACACAATATCTCTGCGAGCTTCAAAGCTGAAGTTCCCCAGCTTAAGGCTTCGGGTTTACCCGAGGCATTTATCGCTTCCATTGCTTAGACTAACCTGCAGACTAATAAGGCAGAGCAGAAGCAGCGACAGAATCCGAGCAACACGGATACAGAACGTGAAAGGATAGCCGTGACTCCATACAAACACCGCATATCACACAGGCTCAAGAAAATCAAAAAACGTGTTGGAGTTCGTGTCCTCTTCTCGGCACCGTTCAAATTATTCAGCCTCACCAAATCTACAAACCCCCTGAAAAGGCAGTCATCAATGGAATGCAGAGTTCAACATTGAAACAGGTATGCGGCATGCTCCCGGGAAGTTGTCTATAGGACCCCCCTTTCATGCGGTGCTTGTTAAGTCGGAACGACCGGAAGGTGTCTGAACGATCAGCTGAGAGAACACGCTAACAATTGAGTGCAATTGTGTGCCCCTTTTCAAGGACAGAGCGACGCTGTACAAGCACAAAGATGAGCGCACCCGAGTCATTGTCGAGCCCGCGCAGATGGCACGCGAACAGGTGCCTTGTATTACCAAGCCCTCCGTGGCTCTGTCCAAAAAAGAACTAAGGTTCCTCGAAGGGTTCGGTGCGCGCAAGTAGTTATATTATCTTTACTTTTCTGTTTCGTTTTCTTATAGATTTTTCTTTGCCGTTTTTTTGTGCTTTGTTTTTTTTTTTGTTTTTGTTTTTCTCTTACTCATGTTCTGCTCTTTGTGCTATATGGTTTTTGTCACATGGTTACTGTCTCCTCTATATATTTTCGCGCTCTGCGCAATAAACTCAGTTGGAAGTTAGTGCTCGTGTCTTGCGTGTCCTTCTTGTCTCTGTGTCGTCGTTTTGTTCTCGCGCTATAACTATCGTCGACAACACAGTACTCGAATCGATTTGGCACCTTGACGCGCTTCTCCTCATAACTCTGAGTAGTACGCCGCATTTAACGTCTGCCATATGCCAACCCGCGACATGATGCACAAAAAAAAAAAAAAAAGATCGCGAGGAAGATACCGACAGTGACAGTGCGGCTCCGTCGTATTGAAAACTGCAATCATTCGGCTCGTACGCACGGCTGGTATGAGTGGTGGTTTATAAATATGGCCACTGCAGTATGACCGCAGCAATAGTGACGTCACGCGCAAGCTATCTATTAAGTATCTATTTAATATCTTTTTGATATTCAATTGTACTTTGTAAATGTATTTATGTTGTACCCTGCCCCTCCTGCATGGGCCACGTGGCCTGCAGTATTTTGTAAATAAAATAAAAAATAAAAAGTGGTGCTACCAGGCCTGAGAAGAACACGTACGAAATCCAAATTTATAGCGTAAAGGGGAATCGCCTGCTGGATTCCGAGCTGGGTGGTTGTGTCACCAGCAATCTCGGACGCCAGGGTGCCTCGAGATCTTGCCGATTGGCCCGTAGTACGCGATCTCCTGACGCCGATTGGCCCGCAGTACGCGATCTCCGGACGGGGCACCACTCGCGCAAGAAGCGCGAGTGGTGTCCCGTCCTCGCGCTTCTTCAACCGTGTTGACCATGTCCCCCATCTGTTTTCTATTTCTGTCGCTCTGGTGGGGTGAGTGCTCTCACTCCTTCATCTTATCTGCCATCACCACTGCGCCGTGTTGCCTATAGGCAGACAGAAATTATGTTCCTTGTTTCCCTTCTTTAGGACCGCGCATTCATTCATTACAGCGTGAAAAGCGCGGAGCAAGAAGCAAGCAGCTCGAAGTGATGCGGAGAGCCGAAATCGGACGACGCGTCTCACCCATGTTGCTCCTCCGTTGCTGATTGGCTACTTCGCTCTCCAGCAAACGGCGCTAAAATAGGACCCATTCTTCGAACGGGAGACGTGCGCGAAGAGCCGCGCACGGCTGCCTGAGGCATCCTTGCCGCTAGCGTGAACCGACCCGAATGTTTATACCGTCCAGAAGACGTCCTCTCCCTCGTGGTCGAAGCCCTGGATGGAACAGTTGCCGCCCACTAGCGCCACGGGGTTGCGCAGGGTGCCCAGGTATCCCGTGGTCATGCTGTTGGCGCCGTCAGCGACCTCTCTGAAGAAAAGGTCGCAGTTGTTCTCGACGTCGTAGGCGAGCAGTGCCGTGGGCGTGCCCACCAGCAGGACGTCCTCCTTGGCCCCCGGCTTGATGCAGTCAGCCGTCAGACAGCTCACCGTCTGGTTTACGTTCAGCAGGGACACGTCCCCGCAGCCTTCCCAGTGGTCGCCACTGCGCTGCTGCTGGTTGTTGTGCACCAGCACCTGCATGTGGCCGTCATTAATCTTCGGATGATACACTTTGAAAAACGATGCGGTTCAATGCACTTGAGCTAAATAAGTTTTTTTTTATTTAATGACCCAGAAGAAAGTTAAGGAATGGATGGTATTTGTTGTGATTATGGCGCCGAGAGAGGAAAGCTGGGAAGTTACACGAGTATCCGGTTCGCAACCCAGAAATGGGCAAGAGAAGTAGAAAATGATAGAAAACACACAAATTATAGCGTTAGAAAGGAAAGTAGATGAGGAGATAACTTGCCGCTGGCAGGCACTGAACATTCGAGTTAACGAGTCCGGTGCTCTACCAAAGCTACACCGCCGTTAAGTTCATTGGGCATTTGTGTGCATTTACACGTAGCAGTGTTGAGAGCATCAATCGCAACCATAACTGTGTGTGTGTGTGTGAAACGCTCTTTGTGTGGCCGCTGGCGTGGCGTGGTGCAGTAACAACGTTATTGATGACTCCGGCGAATTCGCGGCCTAGGCGGCCCAGATACAGTGTACTAGAAAGGGGCAGTGGAGTAAACAAGGCGGCCGCGCCGCATCTCGGCTGATTCTCCGGCGGGTGACAGTAACGGCGGCGCTGTAGTCGCATTGTACTGAAGATCTCAGGAGCGTCTGCATTGGGAGCGCGCGCGCCCGAGCCTGCGAAACCGCGTAATGGCTCGTTTTTAGCGGGCTTAATGCGTTTCTAAGCCTTTATCAGTGAACGCACCTGCTACGCACCATGGTGCACGAGTGATTATGCAGGCATGCCGAAACTGCGCCGAGACATTCCCTGTTTCACGAGCCTGTGTGTTTTCTTTGTATTCAAGTTTCTTTGCTATCACGTTTACGTTCCATAATAATTGTTTCTAGCTTGAGTTGGCACTTACTGAACGACATCATATCATAGTGCAAAACTCAAATATAAAGAATTAGTGGCCATCTTTGCAACATTTTTTTCTGCCTCTTAATGTTTATTTTCGAGTTTATTGGCACATTATCATGTGCTTCTTTTACTACGACACATTATATTTGAAATAAAAGGCATATGCAATGAAAATATTTGGTAGCAATCTGTTCCCTAAACAAGAAGCTATCGCAAGCGGAAAGGTATAAAACGATCTCAGAGTATAAATATCTGGGGCACTTCTCAAGGCTTTCAATGGATGTCAAGAGCAAGAAAACACGGTAGTGCCAGGAATAACCACTCGCTCTTCAAGTCAACTGATCGCCATTCGACGAAGCACGTCGCTGACAGAAGGATGATATCACAAGATATTTTTACACCGCACATTGGAATAACTTTAGACTTATTTATGAGATAATTCAAATCACAATGAAATGTTTCATTTTACATGAGCCAAACGCAAACTTTGCATACTGAGGATGTTGAACTACCCAGACTTTAGCCGTAATAAAGATTTGAGGTATTTAGGAAGGGGAGCATACCTACTAAATTGTTTTAGTAGGCTCAACCGTGTTGTCAGTAGCAAGAAAAAGTGTGTTTTTCTCAGTTCTTCTCCGAAAGGGCATCTGGCTTTTTTTTTAAAAAGCAAAAAAAAAAAACGACGCATTTATACATTCACGATAAACATACAGAACATGCGAAGGGAAGCTGTCGAGGGGCCATACAAATTCAAATGAAGAAAAAAATGCCCCGAGGAAGGTGCGCAGGCGTGACAAGTAGAAAAGCAAGTCAAAGATACTGAGAAGGGCCAGTGCAGTGGCTAGTTGGTTGTACATGATTGACATCACGAAAAAAACACACTGCAGGCAGGACACACGCGAGCGCGAACTGTTTATTCGACGGAAACACGACAAACACATACAGGGTGAAAGGCGAACCATCTGCGTGACATCAAATCTGGCCTTGTCAACTATCTAAAAAAATTTACGCGTAAAACAGCAAATTCATTGTTGGAGAAATGAATAGATGACGAATGCTAGCGCGTTGCGAGTGTCAACCACACTAATAAGGTTTACTTCTTTTTCGCGCAAAGATGGCTGACGCACGACTCTCTTCCGTTAAATTAAAAAAAAAGTTTCTTCCCTTGTCGTCTGATCACCTGTGTCTGAAGAGCACCGTCGCATCAATGAACCATGTGATAGTGCGGAGGCCGATTGGCATACGCGTGACCTTCAATGGATCGATAGTGTTCTTTCAGCCGTGCACAGAGGCTGCATGTGCCCCGTTTGCGTTACGTACGCTTGAATTGCTACAGGTACCACCCCCGTGGCTTTGACGCTTTCTTATGCTTCACACCTCATTTATTTAAGTGAGACCTTTCTTTTTTCACGCCTTTTATTCACCCATAAGCACAATTTACCTCAGCTGAAAAGAGAGCCCGAACACCGTAGCGCGGGATGCCACATTTCTTAGTCCGTCAACCATTCTGTGCATGTTGAGCTTCGTGGCACATTTCTTTGAACGCTCTTGGTTTATACTTTTTTTACAGCGAAAGCTGTTATGAGATCAAAACTCGTGGCGCCGCCGGTGTCCGTAACCGTTATCGCGAATAAAGAGGAAAAAAACTTTGTGTTAAGGACAGAGTGGGGCTCGCATCCGGGTCCGCTGAGTGCCAGCCCAGTATTTTACCACTGAGCTACTCCGGTGCTTGTGACTTGCCAAACTTGTCTTAGGCAGGCTTGATGTCGGGAAAGCAATCGCGTCAGTACGACTTATGAAGCGTTTTACAACAGCGAAAAGACAACCAGTCGTCGCACAATGTGAATTGCGTAACGAGTGAGTCGTCCAATGCTCCAGCAAACTACAAGAGCTTGTTTTTGTTCCGCTATTAACTGTGGCACATATACTTTTCAGGCATAATTCCTAATCGTCGTCAGCCATTGCATGAACAATTAACTCAAAATTTCTTGCAAGTGTTTCGTGGATACAATGCTTCTCAGAAGAATGACCAAAAATAGCATAGAGAATGCCGGCCTACTACCCAAAACATTTTATTATAATGCCCTACTGGGTATCAAGCAAGTGGGCTTGCACTAGTTACCCGATGAGTGTTATTGAAATGCTGCTCTCCTAGTCGCTGTGACTGTGCTGCACCTTTCGCGCAGGCCTAGCGTTTATAGGGGCGAAGCTTCTTATAGCGACACCCGTTCATCCCTCGTAGCCGTTGTAGTATTGTATAACAAGTATAACATTTTGACCTCCAAGGTGGTGCCGGTGAGAGATTTCTTCTGTGCGTTGTTGAACAATAAAATATAGTGCTCAATGCACATGCCAACGGCTGATAAGGGGGAATGAGAGACAGGAGAATTCGGCTTTTAGTTAACGCGCACGCTGCGAATTTTTTATTGTTCAACAACTCACAGAAGACAAGAAAAGGTTGCTACGTTATACTCGCGTGGCGTAATCTCCTAGGTTTTAGAAAGGTTTAGCGAGAGTTGGGCCGCAGTGCCATGAATACAGTGAACTAGTATATACCATGAACTCGAGGTGGTTAAAGGTGGGAAGCAGACACGAAGCGCAAGCCGTAAGAAAGTGTGCGTGTGTCTCCTCTGGTTCAGTTTTTGGGATGTCCGCTGGATGGCGGTGCTTTTATATGAGGAATATATGATGAAAAGATGCGAGATGGTGGTACTTCGATGTTGAATAGGTGGACGAACGGACACACAGACAGATGCATGGATGGCTGCACGGACGGATGAACGCATGGACGGACGCAGGAGCAGATGCATGTACGAAAGCAGGGACGGACGCACAGATGACCGTGCGGACGCACGAACTGACGCACGCATGGACGGGCGGATGGACGCACGGGCGGTCACACAGACGCACGCATAGATGGACGGAAGCAAGAACGAATGGACGGACGGATGCTTCGCCCCCCTATCCATCATTCACTCCGTGAATATGCTGCCAGTTTTTTATGTACTCCCTTCCTAATCTGTCAGACTAGCGCTTCGTAGGCGGAATTAAGTGATTACGGGAACCGTAAAGGCGACTGCCTGAAGTTGACCCACCAAAAACAAGTGTTCCTTATTCACGACCCCGTTTTTTTTTCTTCTTTTCGTGCCCGTGCAGGATATATTTTTTTCATTTGCATTGTTATGGTCCCTCGAGTGTCTCCTCTGCACATGTTCTGTATGTTTATCGTGAGTGTTAAAAAATAATCTCCACATTCCGATAAATCACCAGTAGAGATTCAGCGCTTCTGTTGTCTGCCTTCGTGCCGTCCGTTTTTCCCACATGGTGTCGCCAGCTTTCAGCCGTGTTTCAGTTTTCCCTTTCTTGATAACGAAAAGTTTGGTTGCTCATTTCGGGGATTCTATGTGCGCGTAAGAAAAGCGTACCTTGTCTGAGGCGGTGGCTGCGGTGATGCACGGGTGCAGTCCATCGTACTTTCCCACGGTGACCCTGCGCGGAAGCACCTTGTGGTTCAGGTGAAAGGTGAACTGCGGCACCAGATTGTCCCTGCCTTTGGTCGGCGACATGACCGCGTCTTTTCGCGCGCATTGATCGTCGTGCCTCGAACGGTTGCCGGGGCTACGAGCCAAACATTCCACGCTCCCGCAGGCACAGTTGCCAGATGCTACCCTGTAACAAACTAATAATCATCACAAAATAAGCTGTCCTTTCACCGCCCCCCCCCCCCCAAGAAATATAGTGACATGACTTTATGATGAAGCCCAACAAAAACGGAAAAACTATGCCTAGTTGGAAATACTTCCCTACCAGCGAAATTTTCTTGAAAATCATCAGTGGCCAGGATGTCCATGCTTGGAAAGTTATTGGGGGCCAAGGGAAGTATGTGCTTGGGAAGTTTGACAAGCCTACTTTTGGCCAAGCAAAGGAAGGCCGTGCTTGGAAAGTGATTGGAAACACCCCTTTCCATGGTTGGCACTGTGTTAGAATATCATGCAATAGCCAAACATGTTCTTGGCATGGGAGCCAATCATTTTGGCCGATGCAATTTCTGGCACATTTATTTCAGTTTTTTGTCTTGGCTACAATTGGATGTCCGGCTACTTTTTTCTGCATTTTTGCATGCCCCCCCCCCCCGCCCTTTCACGAGAAGTAACAATTGGCAAATATTTCTGGTACTTCAGGTTTACTTAACACATTATAAAAGGCAATATGCCGTTTTTCCATTTTTTTCCTGAACTCTTGTGATTCTGAAGTGTTGCTTGGCTTCTCTTGGAGTCATTTATCGTAGTGGCATGCCTCCTTTGCATAGGTGAACCTTCTTGATCTGAATCGAACATGAGCCATCCGTTTGTTACGTCTGAAACAGCTGAGTCAGTTTTGTTGAACAGGGTATGTCTCGTCTGTAAAATATGAGAAAAAACCTCAGCTCCTGTTCTTTATTTAGCCATCTCTTAGGCAATCACTTTCACCAATTTTCAACAAAATACACAGCAGAAACTTTTGTTGGGAAGCTAACTGGTTATGCATGATTATGAGGACAAAAGCACCTGCACAGACAGGAAGAGATATTCGACGGCATGATGCATTTTTATTACTGAAGTAGCGTGCATAGTCATGCGAGAACCCCATCAATACGAAAGAAATGAAGAAAAACAAGTTAAAAAAAACCAGCTATCCTCGAACCCTTTATAGGACATATATATTCTCTCAAATGAAAAAAAAAGGTATTTTTTATAGCATGATAGAAGCAGCATTGGCGCAAAAGCACTGTTTATAGCGTCCTTGTATTTTTTGTATGTACGTACCTTTATATTTATAAACGTGGCTGAGGTAGTCAACGAACCTTTATTTACGAAGGTTATTTTTGTCATGTAGCTGCTGTTGTCAATGCTTCATTTTATTTCAGTGATTATTGGCAGTCCTGCCGCTTAGCTGTGAAGTTGACTGTTAAACGATGAAATTGGTTATGTGCTCTGGTTCTCAGCTCTCACAAATCGGCAAGCTGATAGAACAGGAAATAAGATTATACAACATTGAAGTGGCGAACATATGGTGGCAGTGAAAATGTTTCAATGCTCAATCTTGCTCCAGATGGCAAAAGTTGGCTTTTTTTAGGGAGACAGTGTATAATGTATTAGAAGGTCAAGTTTTCAAACAAACCTCAGTGATGCAGTGTGTGCAGTATTCTGGCCCTCGTGAAAGATTTTCTAAAGAAAGGCAACCGAAATATCACAGCATGGAAAAGTATACATAACAAAAAAGTCATGAGAATGTTGCCGATAAAAGCCTAAGCAAGAAACCAATTTATTTGTTTATTGTTAATGCTCACCAAGCAGAAAAAGCACATTTGCAAGATTTAAAATGAAAAATTGTTCTCGGCGACCCAGCAGCACTTCTTTGTAACCACGTTAGACACAATATGATGGAGCTTTCTGGGCACGGCATATTCAGCACTGCTGACATATACTAGGAACAAATAGCTGATCTGTAACAAAGAATCAAAACATAAATTTGAAAGTTGATAAATGTAACACGTTGAAAAGCTTTGAAAAAGTCTGTGCTGTATTGTTACATAAAATTATCTTCGCTTCGCTAAGCCGCAATATTTACAGCTCGTGGTTATGAATGCTTCTTCCATCGCGTTCATTCAATAAAACACCAAATCGCAATTTTATAAGTGTTATAAGGAAAACAAGTGTAGGATAACTTATCCGTCGAAGCAAGAGTCTGCCATCTTGAAGGGTTGAAGGGTGGGACGCAGCTCTGTCCAGCTCGGATCCGAAGACCCAAGAGGCCCTCGTGAGACGAGCAAGGACAGCGGCCCGTGCCAATGGGATCCCGGACTAAGGAGCCCACTCACCGATACCCCTTCCTCGGTCGCAAATAAATGTTTTATTCTCTTTCTCTCTGCAATCTTGAAGAAGAATTCAGAAAAAAAAAAGCATTGCACCATGGAGCCATGTAATGGGGTGAACAAAACCCTTTTTGTTCACTTTAGTTACCAACATGCACATGCTCCTCTCAGAGTCGCCACAGCTGCCACAAAATCTTGAGAAATTTGTCCACTATAGTGGACAGCGTGCACTAAAGGTTAGCGCCGCGCTCTGAAAATCGAAAACTTGCTGCTTCGATTACGCGCGACAGATGGGGAAATTTCTAACTATACATTTTTCAACGTCACTTCAGCGATGGAAGTACGTCAGCGGAGCTGTGGTGGACCTCGGCATAAAACACTTTCGTGTTAAAAGTAATGTAATACAGGCTGAGAATTATGCGGTGATGATGAATGACATAATAGATTATTTTACATCTGTTGTAGCAACCAATTCGGATTCAGTTGTACCGAGGAAGGGCGATAAACGCGGCCGCAACGATTATTCTCAATCGGAGCGTTCGATCAGCAATTATGACTAGACCGGATCTCACAGGTTAACGTACGTTCTAATTCTGTTTACTCAACAAGTACACTTCGTTTGTACATCAATTTATGATTTTTAGTGTATATACTGAGCGCGTTAGGACTATTTCCCAGTATGCGTTCGTGAAATTCCCGCGTAATTTGCGCACCCCCGTTTCGGCGGCCCCAAAATCGCGAGAAAAAGTGCGCAAGTTATGTCAGTAAATACGGTGTATCGTGAATGTCGCCCAAGGTAGAACGGCGAATAGCCAGTAGGGCGTTGACGGGCGATAAGATGAGCAAACGTCACAAATAGAAAGATGGCTTCCCAGTGCTCGTTAGTTGGTGCAATATACATAGATATCTTATCAGTTAGTGTGCGGTGAAATCACTCTGTTATGCCGTTGGTTTCAATGTGATATATGCCGACGTCAATCCCTGAAGTCATTGACGTTCCGTTTTGGCATAAAAGATAATGAAATATCAGGCTATAAGGATAGTGCAAGTTCGTAGTACGTTATGTCCAACTTGAATTTATACTATTCACACGGTTCGCAGGAAGCGGCATGTTGGACGACTCCTTGAACGAGGCGATTTCTCCAGGAAAGTGACTATATGCAAAATGAAGACAGATATATCATGAAGCTCCTCGATGTATCCCGCTCTTTCGTAGATACAAGTAGCCATAGGTGGGGGCCTCCCCGATACCTGCGGGGAACTTTCGCCGCCCGCCCAAGAGCACGCCTATGCAATTAGCAAGAAATGTTCACAATTATGTGTTATTTTTTTAGGCGAGACAAGCCTTTCAGGTAGGAAGAAAATAAAGTCGTCCGAAGTCGTTACTTAGCAATCTCGTAATTGGGGGGGGGGGGGCAATCAGGATAAGCTCGACAAGATAAGTGCCTCAGGTGAGAGAGCCCTTGGCGACAGACTCTGATTCTTTGTGCCCGACAGAAAGTGTGTCCACGCTGCCAGGATGCTGTCCCCTCGCGCTCAACTTTGGCTCAAGATGGCTCGGACGTGCAACCTCAGCCTGGGCTGCATGGGAATGGTGAGATATGGACTTTCTACACTTCGCGGTTAACTTCCGGGAGTGACGTGAGGATGAGTTGGTAGTTTAACAGTACGTTATGTTGGGCTAGTTGGTACATATGAGGCTGAAATACGTGGCGCAAGGTTGACAAAGAGAAAAAAAAAAGACGAGACAGAAAGAGCTCCAACTCACAACTAAGTTTATTTTCATGAAGCATTCGCAATATATAGGTTCTCGGAGGACATGCGCCTACCATTTCATTCACCGCACGTGCAGGCATGAACATTTTTATGATGTAATAGCCGATAATTGCAATCATGAAATCTAGGAACCAGCAACAAACAGATATTCCTAATGTAAAGACGTCGAAAAAACCAAACACACCCAAGCCTGTGCAAAAAAAAATGCGAGGAAAAACCAGCAAAAAAGGACTGACAGACACTTGGTCGTTCATCGCCAAGAAAATTTCAACAGCACTGTGAAACACGAATGGTAGAAAAAGAAGCCATGGCGTGCGCAGTGTTGGGCCAGAGAAAAAGTTCGTGGCCCCCCTTCCTCTTGGGGGAGAGCCCCTCCACTCGCGTGCATGCCCGTGCTGACACGGACAACTTCTGCCTGAGTATTAATGATGTAGAGCTAAATTGGAGCAAAGTATCGCAGCGGAAGCGCCGGACACTTGTGTGCTTCGGCGACCGCTTCGGCCCAGCTGCGGAGCTGTAACTCCGGTTGCGAGCTGCGTAAAGCAGCCTCCCCCCACTCCTGATGTTGACGCATGCGCCACGGGAACTTGGGTTTGTTCAGGAAATTCAGAAATAGGTAATTGAACTCGGCTCTGGTGCACAAATTGCAATGAGGAGCATTCGCACAGAAAAAAGCTACACCACTCCACGGAACATTTGGTTGGGGAAACGTATGGCTTAATTAGGGAGAGTAATTATGCAAGTGGCTAGCCAAAACGTCACAAGAAGGGCCAGATTGTATCCTCATTGCCTTCTTAATAATAATCGACGGGTGATTAGCGCCACATACGACTCGCTCACCATTGAAGGCGTGTTGCATTGCATCTTGGCAGATCAATTTTTTCTTTTCTTTGATGGTTTATTTAGGACAATACTTTATTTATTTATTTATTTATTTATTTATTTATTTATTTAAATACCTTAAGAGCCCAGAGGGCATTACATAAAGGGGGATACATACAAGAGGTTACTATAGCATCAGTAAAACAACATGTCAGGGAGTAATACTACTAATCAAACTGACCGATAGCCCAAACAACATTACTAATAACACAATAAGCAAAAAACACAGTAAGCAGCTCACCATAACAGGAAACATAATTCAAGAAATAGCAATAAAGATTCTCTAAGCATGCGTTACACATTAAATGTCAATGGTGGTTACAAAGTATTGTCAACTTCTAAGTAAGTTAGTACTGCAGACTGGAAAATGGAGGGTTCTGTAATAGCGACGATGTTTGAGGGCAGCGCGTTCCACTCGTTAATGGATAACAGCATAGGTGAAAATTGGTATTTATTAGTGCGTGAATATATTGGATTGACCTTATGTGCATGACCAACGCGATCAGAAACGTAGGGAGCCGGGTGAATGAATGATCGGGAAAATGACGAGTCACTATGATATAAGCTATGGAAAAAACATAGGCGGGACAACTTTCTGCGCGTGGCAAGCAATGGAAGGTTCAGAGAACGCTTAAGACATGTTACGCTTTGGTGGCGAGAATGACAGGAGGTGATAAACCGAGCTGCTTTATTTTGTACCGATTCTAGCATATCAGATAACATTGCCGTGTGTGGATGCCAGATGGTTGACGCATACTCTAGTGAAGGCCTGATCAGAGCTTGATATGCGTGAAGTTTAGTTTTCAAGTTTGCGCATCTGTGGTGGCGTTTCAAAAGACCAAGTTTTTTTTTTTGATGATTTGCTGGTGATGTATTCAATGTGACTGTTCCAGGTTAGGTCGGAACTAAAGAAAATGCCGAGGTACTTTGAGGATGAAACGGTCTCAATTACGGTGCTATTGACTATGTATCTGACGGATGATGAGGGGTTGGCTACGGAAGTAAATCTAATATGTTTGGTTATCAAAATAAAGGGAAACACTGAGTGACCGATTGAAAGCTTTCCAGGAACTACTTGATGTATTGTACCCGTGCAAATTCTAATAATCACCTGGTGGCTTTAGCCTATCATTGTCTTTGTTGCCTGTTGATATTTGGGACGCTGAAGCTGTTCTCATTGTTATGTCATGTGCTTGCCTTTATTTTTTGCTCTCATTGATAACCCACCTGACTCGTTCTTCATTCCTCTCTTCGGCAAAGGCGCAACCAAAATCATGCGACGGGTGGTTTTGAGCACGCATATCAGTTTCACGAGCCAACAGTGGTTGGAATGCAACAGTGTACGGCTTCCATTATCGTTAGTTGGAGATGACGACGTTTTTTACCTTCAATTGAACAAAATCGCGCTGCGGCTAGTTTTGTGTAGCTTTATTTGTTTTTTTCATTCTTCTTGCCATAGACAAGGGGGCTTTGCAATCCGATTGTCTTTACATACGCGCGCTTCACGAGGTTGATTCAGGGTGAGCCTGGAAAACCTGGGATAGCCAGCTCATTCGGATAGGTCTGAAAAACCGGGGAATGATCAGGAAATTTTGGAAAAAGTTCATGGAAACTGATTGATGAAAACAGCCGTTACATTCGATCAATGCTTTTCAAGTCTCTCCTTCTCTGCTATAGACATAAAGTAACTGATAGTGCAAGCTGTTGTTTAAGGTGGCACAGCGCAACTTGATTCATGATGGTGCCCAGCAACTTGTGCATCTTTGCCGTGACCGACGCTCGGCTTCAAGGCATTCTGGTTCAGCTGCAGTATTTTCTGAAGAGGCTCCCAGGATCCCATTTAGCACGCTCTTTTTGAAAGTACCGTATTTGTTTGTTCTTTTTAATTCTTTTTTATGATTTAAGGGCTCATCTTTAGTGCACAGATAGCCTCCGAGGTCCTCATAAGGTGGGTTGACATGGCATCGCATAGACTTCATGGCGCGCCGTGTATCCTGCATTCTACACTGTTATGCCGTAATGAAATGAAAGTCAGTTTTTCAAGGAATATGCTCATCACAGAAAACCAGGAAAAGTCAGGACATTTTGAAAAAAATATTTGGAAGACACCCTGATACTGTATTTTATTGTGGCTGTAATTGTGTATAGATAACACCTACGCGGAGTTACCGTTATGTTGGGCAACACTTGTTTTCGTTTGTATTTAGTCATCTGATAATTTCTTGTTTGCTCTTTTTTTCAGCAGCTGCATTGTTTGTTTTGTTTTGTCGCCTAAAGGTTCATACGCACAAAGGGCCGAACTCCACCTTACAACGAAAATTGAAACACAATGAGAGAGAAATCAGAAAAGAACGAGATGAATAATAACGTAAATAAAAAAGGAAGAAAGTGTAAAAGGTGAAAGTATTCTACAAGGAAGACTTTAAAGGTAGCAAAAAAAGAAGGTGGACAAATTCGTCTGGTCGTACCACTAGCAACGTGTCCTTGTGGTTGCCTGAATGAATTTATATAGCGTGGGCAGAACAGCACTGCGGCCCACTGTTGGGTAATATGTACTTTTTCTTTACTGTGTGGAGATTTTTAAGCTGTGCATGACTTAAAATATATAAGGTATACGCACTTGTACTGTATGCCCTCCTCACCTTGTGCCTCTTCTGGGGCCTGTAAAGTGTAAATAAATAAATAAATAAATAAATAAATAAATAAATAAATAAATAAATAAATAAATAAATAAATAAATAAATCAGCCTGCGTGGAAACAGTAGCGGACGGTTATTGCCATATTGTGCTAATAAGCAAACAGCCTTTACAAAAGACCTCCCCCCCCCCACCAAAAAAAAAAGCGAAAGAGCCCAGCAGAAGCGGAAATCCAGTGAATTTTCTCATACTTGGAATTGTTTTATGTGTAATCGAAAATGTCGCACAAATATGAAGGGAAGTGAAAAAATCACTTCCATTATTTGTGCATCGAAAATATGCATAACTACAAAAAAAAGCAAATATTTACTTTTTTAACATTGTGTCGAGCAACGTTTCTAGAAACGTTGGTGTCGAGGGCATGAGTATAGCGTTAAGGCTAGTGCACACCGGCGACTAGCAGCGGTCGCGCGACCATGCGCGACTGGCGACCAAAAAGCAACTGATGTTCACACCATAGGGTTTCCTGATATACACTAAAGGGAACTTTGGCGCTAGCGCCTATGGGAGCTGCAACGCACGGCACTTCAGCGAGTAGAGAATGATGGGTAGTACACACATTTGTCGAATCTTCGTACTTCTGGCCTGCTTTTGGCTCCGTGTGTGTTCGCGTGGCTTGAAGCTGTTTTCTTACGAAACAAAAATCAGCAAATGTTCAGCGGTTGCACTTCATCACCTTAATTTTTTTGACTTACCTTTCCAAATAGGGTCACGAAGTTGAAAAGGGTTGAATCTTTCTTTCAAAACAAAACCGAAACACAGCGGTAAGCGATGCCGCAAGTACGATTCGCCGCACGCAAGTACGAAGACTAGGCAAATATATGTACTACCCATCATTCCCATGGTCGCTTAACGATCGCAGCGACACAGTCCCCTCTAGTTAATTTTAGGAAACTCTATGGTACACACCGGCGAAGGCTGCATGCGAGCGACCGGAAGTCGCAAAGCTGGAGAGTGACGTCCAGATCTCGTTATCAGCGAGAACTCTAGAGACCGGCGCCGATCAGCTGATTGCCGCCAGCTCAGTGAGCGGAGCAAACCGAGCGCGCCACATTTACTGTTTTCGTCTGTTGTCGCACAGCGTTCCCAGGAGCGTCAAGGAGTTCAATTCAAGCGAAGAACAAGATATAATTGTGCTAGTGCGCTGTGCCATGGTGTCAGCGCTGGCAGCACAGATGCCTCCAAAGAAAAAAAAATTACCCCGTGTCTGCATGTTTCTGCAAATGTCGTCGAAGGATC